CACACAGGAAGATGGAGGGGCCCGTTGCGGCCAAGGTATAGTGCCGGGATCTGGCAAGATGGTGGTGGTAAGAAGGATCGTAGTCTGGCAAGATGGTAGTGGTAAGAAGGTTCGTTGTTTAAGAATATCTAAAATACTTACAAAACTGTAGAGATGCAGCGTGTGACTTTTATATCTAGTTACTAGAAAACTAAGGAAAGCACTTGATTAGCTTTGAATAAAAGAACGTGAAAACAGGAATGTACTTTTACAATCTACAGAAAAAATTAATGCATTATCAAGAAAGATTTTATACAAGGAGGCATATTGCTCATTGAGAAGGGAGTCTATAGAAAAGCACTAAGTTAGCAACTATGGGAATGACCAGTTCCAAGATGAATTAAATGCCCAGTTGTGGGAGGGATTACAATTTTAAGAAAAAGGAAAATATTAAGAAAACACTGATTAATATTAACTTTCACCATCTACTGCATTTGACAGAAACTAACCTTTTTCAAATCTTACCCGTGACACTTATTTCGTTTGTTATGCATAAAATGTAGTATAAATTAATCTCCACTTGGTATTTTATCAAATACTGTCTTCATCATTTGATCACATCAAGTATTCCTCGGACTCCACCCCAGTGTGCCCTCGAGAGCAGAATACTTCATCAGATGAACACTCGAAGAAGGGTTCTGTTCACGATCTCAGCAAAAGCTAATATAGAATTTTTATTTTATTTATTTTTTAAAAAATAATTTTTTAAATATTTTATTGGTTTTTTTACAGAGAGGGAGGGAGAGGGGTAGAGAGTTAGAAACATCAATGAGAGAGAAACATTGGTCAGCTGCCTCTTGCACACCCCCCACCGGCAATGTGCCCGCAACCAACGTACATGCCCTTGACCAGAATTGAACCTGGGACCCTTCAGTCCACAGACCGACGCTCTATCCACTGAGCCAAACAAGTTAGGGCAAAAGCTAATATAGAATTTTAAAAAATCTCACTAGGAAATAAAGAAGATCAATCCAAAGAGTTGAGTTGATATACAGTACAATGTTAGGGAAGGAACATGGGTTGATAAATTATGAATGGCAACATTTTGCAAAGGAGGCTGTGTGTGAAACTCATTGGCTTGTGGCTGCCTTCCCTAACTTTAGAAGGGAGTCTCCAAGACAAAGGCCTTTAAACAGTTCAGTGCTCAGTGCTCTTAGCACACCAGTGCAATTTAGTTCACAAGGAATTTTGGCAACTCTATCTGAGCAAGAATAGGGGCTTTTGAAAAATAAGGCTTTAAGAAAACTTAGGGCTAAATTTTAATAGAATGTGAAAATTTGAATCCTTACACTTTTTGTTTAAATAAAACCTAAAAATTACTGATTTCCATATGGTTTTATGGAAAAGCTAATTTGTAACAAAAACTTGGCGTTGAGTGCGAATGCGCCATTGTTTTTGAGCAAAGCATACAAAGGTTCCCAGGCATCAAGGTGGCAGGGAGAGGCCCAGACATTTACAATAGCAGGCATTTTTTTCCCTCTTCTGAAGGAAGGCTGACAGAGGATGGCTTGAAAGCTTCATCAAACACTCTTGAGGCCTCACTGTGTGAGAGCTGACCACTGTAGGTATTTTACAGCACCGATCTTGGCCATGGCTGAACACTGTGGGTAGGGTTATGGGTGTCAGCTTCTCCTTATGTTTCTCAGTCGTGTCTTTATCCCTAAGATAAGCTTGGTCCCCATCAGGATGATTGGAGTGTTGGGACAATGGTGTCTCGAACTTCAGGGTTCCACTTTGCACAAACATTCTCAAATGACGCAGGACTCACAAGAGAACAGCAAATTAAGAATACATTGGCAATCGGCTTGTCTTTGCCCCTGGAGGTTATATCCTTACCGTTTCTCCAACTGTCTGCGGATAGGAGAGGGTAGGTAATCTGTCATAATCTTGTCCAGCAGTATCCCATAAGCCCAGATTCATCTGTTTTCCATCTCCCATAACATTGGCAGAATAGTTGTCTAAGACAGTGGGGATATGTTCTCCAGGAAATACATTGGTGGTATAACTGATCAGTAGGCAAGTTTTCCTATAGCTCCATCTCCCACCACAACACACTTGATGGCCTGTGTCTGTAATGCTCTGGGGGCCGCAACAGCAGCAGCTGGGGACTTAGGAGGGAATCAGTGGGCTCGGGGTGCAGTGGGTGGGCGCACACCTGGCAGCAGGTGCCAGGGTGTGGGGTACCGGGGCCGCTGTCCACAGCTCTCACCCTCCAGTGAGAAGCCAAAGCCCAGCAGCAGCCACTACCCAGAGCTCTTTATGACTTTTGTGAACCCAGGAGCAAAACTGGATAATTTGGGAAGTAGAATCTGGATTAGAAAGCCAGCTTTTGGAGTTCCTCTGAATGCCTTGATAGGTAGAAGAGGTACTACGAGAAAGATACCCAGCATTGAAATGCATGACTAGAGGAGTGGTAACATGTGCATTTATGGTTGTAGTAAGTTAAGAATTGTCTGCTCACTTTCACATTACCCCCACCTCCTTTTTTTTTTTTTTTTTTTTTAATTCTCTGAGGAGTGAAGATATTTTTTCCCCCCATTGATTTTAGTGTGGAAGGGAGGGGAGAGAGAGAGATGGGTGACAGAGATAATATCGATTGGTTGCCTCCCACATGTGCCCACCTGGGGCAGGGATTGGACCTGCAACCAGGTAAGTGCCCTTGAGTGGGAATTGAACCCAAGACCCTCTGATGTGCAGGCTGATGCTCTGACCACAGAGCCCCACCAGTCAGGGCTCACATACCCATTTGTAAATCAGATTAGATTCTCAATTAGGATTTGTTGATGTCTTTCATGACATCCTAAACTAACTGTTTGGTTTTAGAAAACTATATTATTTTTCTTAACAATTTTTGATTTTTTAAATTAAAATAAAATACTCATGCTATCTTTTCCTGGTAAGAAATGCAAACTTTAAAAAAGTCTTTACTTCTAATTCAGGCTGGTGGGACTTCACTTTCTGTCCCAAATTTTCATGGAAGAGAAACATTTATAACAACAACAAAAATAGCAAACCAATATTCTGATGGAAAGTGGAGGTGGGATTATGGTGCTAGAAACTGAGGAATTTCTGAAAGATAGATAGCCAATGGGATCATTCAATAGAAAGCCCCAGTCTAAAACATGGTTGCAAAAGGTGGGAGACCCTCCAGGAGAGAAAAATCTAGAGCAGGAAGAGGCCCTGGGGCAATTGACAAGATGTCTGGTTAGGAAACCTCATTTTGATCATTCAGCCAGGTGTCCTCCCTGAAAAGTGTCCATCAGCAGTGGGAATGAATGGTTGGGAAACTGATAGAGTCATATCTGAGCATTCTTTGGTAGTTATAAAGATCTAGAGGCCTGGTGCACAAAATTCATGCTGGGGGTGTGTGTGTCCCTCAGCCTGACCTGCATTGTCTCCAATCTGGGAGCCCTCAGGGGATGTCCTACTGACAATTAAGGCCTACTCCTTGTGGTTCTCTGCTTTCTGCAGGGCCTGCCTGCTCCACACCAGTGACTGCCAAGCAGGCCGTGGTGGGAACTGCCTGCAGCTGTACTTGCCTGCTCCCTGTTTGCTGGGTGAAGGCCAACAGGCCATGCTGGGAGCTGCCTCCTCCCTGATGTCAGTCTCCATGAAAGTGATGAGGTTAATTTGCATACTCATTCCTGATTGGCTGGTGGGCATTGCAAAGTGACAGTCAATTTGAATATTTCTCTTTTATTAGTGTAGATTAGTGTAGATGAGGTAGATCTCTACATATTGACAGAGAACATCTCTAAGCCATACTATATATATATACAAGATTGAAGGCGACCATGTAGAATGACATATAGCATAATAATGCTATTAATGGTTTTAAAATATCACACTAAAAGATTTCATATTTTTATGGTTACATACTTTAAATAAAAGCATAGACCAGGAGTTCTTAACAGTGGCACTCTTCACCTTTCCCCTCTCCCCCACTAATTTTGCCATACAAAAGTAATCATGAATAAATGTGTCATAGTGCTACACATTTAGTTTTACAAAATGAAATTGGAGCAAATATAATAATATACTGACATAAAAAAATCAATTTTCTATGGATAAAATTGCTCTTGAGACTTTAGACTCTTTATATAAAATAGAAGGATTCTTTTCGTTTTTCTTCTTTTTTTTTCCTTCTTTTTCCTTCTTATAAATAGGATTTTATCTGCTTGTTTGAAAATTAATTTCTTCCAGTTCTTCAAATCTAGATTGATGCAATTGGCAATCCTTCCTTTAACTTTTCAGTCTGTAAAGATAATTTATGTTTGTTGGTAAAGCTAGAGAATTTGGTTAGGTTTGCTGCATACTGAAGTCTGGTCAAATTGTGTGAGTCGCTGCTGTTCTCAGGCAAGAACACATTTAATCTTTATTTTGTCATCCTCCAGTGTTCTACCTAGTGTTTGCATTGAAGGATATTACAAGGAAAACTCAGATATTCATGGTTATTATAAATAATGCCCACATAACTACAGATCTTGTTGAAGTGATAGATTTTAAGTAATCTCCCAGCATGAAAACAACTTTAAAGTTGCTGTGTTCCCTATCTTTCTCAGTTTGTACTAGTTTAGAAGGTATTTAAAAACTTTGACTCGGATCTGGGGTAACCTACTTTTTTAACACTAAGATTCAATTTATTTCAGAAGGATAGGGACCAAGCACAGTGTCTTTTCAGCATATTTTAGGCATCTGATGGATTAATAGAAAAATTTCCACAAATTCAGAGTTTTAAAATTCTGGTATAATTTTTTTTTTAAATGAAAACAGCACTGTTTTTTATTTTTACACCACTGAATTGAAAGAATAAAAAAAGAACTACAGTTGGTATGAAGTATTAGGCAGACAATCTATACAGATTGGGAATACTACTTTTACCATCTTCTACAGCTGCTTGCTTCTGCTTTTTCATTCACTGACATTTCATCCCTGTCCGCTACTGTGTCTTCTGATGTAGACTGGACATGGCCCTCTTACTGTCCTCTAGTGTAGGTGGGAGTGCTGTACTTTAAAAGGATAGATTTAAACTGCAACAGAGGTGCATCTGTACGGACACCCATTGGGTCAAAATGAGTTCGGCTCACTCTAAAGCCTGCTTGAGAAAGATAGCACAGAAACTTTTTTAATTTTGGCATATTCATTTCTTTAATGCTGTGTCTGTGGATGTTGTAATAAAAGGGAGGATGTTCAGTACTGGAATCAGTCTTTTGTTTCTTGGCTAAATTTGTGATTTTTTCAGTACATTTTCTTTTTCCTTGTGCAATGTAATTATCTGTTGTGATATCATCTGTAGTTTTAATAGATATATCACATTCTTGCTTGGTGAGATTTGAAGGTGAATGAACTGAAAACTGACTTTGAGGATTACACTCTGACTCAAAGATTAATGTCTTTATTAGGGGCTGAATGTCATCTAAACCATGGTGAAGAGATTCAAATAGCATTCTTTTGAGAAATCCAGTATTGAAGAGGGAGCTTGACCATAGAGGTCCAAGTTCTATTGCTGCTTCCAGGCATGCTTCCATGACAGTTACAGGCATGCTTCCATGACAGTTACAGGGCAGCTGTCTATACGGTTTTCTTCTACTATATTACCATCCTTCTGAAAAATTCTCTCTTCACACTACTGACAATGTATCAGATACTGTATCTTCTTGGCTGTTTCATCTGCAGAAGTAGGCCCCCTCAAAACTCTCACAACCACCAAGACAAAATGTTCCAGAGCCACTGCAAATAATACTTCTATGCCTTTGTTACATTCAGCTGCAGCTCATAGGCTTTTACAGCTCCTCTGCTTTTCCTTCTGGTTTTCTCTTTCCTTCTCATTGTAGAATTTCCAGTTAGTTGACTTTCCTGTAGTTCTTGGGGTAATGTCCATTTTGTATTTTAGTTGTATTTTATTGAAATTGTTGTGTGAGGCTGCAGTTAGGTGTTACCTATGGCGCCATCTTGGATTCTCTCATAATTTTTATCTATATCCAAGCATTTAAATTCATTTTTAAGATGTCAATAAGGATGACTTTTTTTTGTCCTGTTAAGTTGAAAAACACACCTTGATACAAGTAATATTCTTCTCTTTATCTAAAGAATGAAAGTGTTCAAAATATAAAACTAAATGCTTGAGGAAGAAACTAATAATTTTTAAAAACTTGGAAACTTTCCTATTGGAAAAGTTTATGAAGACTGTTTTACTTCTAATTTTAGTATTTAAATTGCCTTTCTTTTTGAAACTATATCCATCTTATTTAATTGATCAGTTTACTTTAGTTTAAACTGTTCATGATTGTTATATATATTTGAACTATATAAAAAGGAATTTATATTTTTCAAGATGTTGAACTTTTTGAAACATAATACCTCTAGTCAGCTTAGTCAAGTTAAGTCATCCTTCAGAAAAGCATCTGTAGTGCTTGAATAGCTTGTTTTGTATTAAGATAAAGACATCACCTCATACATTTAGTACAACAATAACAGCAAAATTGAAATTGAGTTTCAAAAGTTTTTAAACTATTCTTTCCTAGTTGACTCATTCATAGCTTCTTAGGAGCTGAAGCAGCAGATGATTCTAGTTTTTCATATCAAATGGCTTTGGCCAGCATTTTGCCAGTACTGACCCTGGACTAGACTGTGGGATTGTTGAGCTTCTAATATACTTTTCTCCCCTAAGTAAGGTTTGTTTCTAAGAAATAGAAGAAAGGAAACCAACCAACTCTTTCTTTACAAAGAAAGGTGTGTGTTTTGCCTTTCTTTGTAAATTCCGTAGGCAGTCTTGACCTGCTTTTGATATTTAATTTATTTGAACTTCAATATACTGGTTTATTCAGCCAATATATTCATCTCCTAAAACATCTTAGGTTTTGAGCTACCTTCTCAGTATGATTACAAAGAATTTGTGATAACATAGGAAAAAATGTCTATTATGATGTTAAAAAACAAGAGGATGCAAAATTATATATGCGATATGGTTACAAAAGTATATTTAGAGAAAAGACTGGGAATATATGTCAAATGCAATTAGGATTATCTTTTTACTTTTTGATGCATATTCATTGTAGAAATTTTGGACATATAAATATAAACATGTGTGTATATATATCTTTTCATTCCCCCCCCCCCCCCCCCCCCCGTACAACCCTCATTTCCCATATGTAATGCTGAGAGGAGAAGGTTTAATATTGTGCAGTTAGACTTTTACCACACAGACAATAGCTAGACAATGAAAATTATTAAATAAATCTCCATTCATTTGTACATTTAAGCTTTTAGCACATGACACTGTGCTGAAGGAGATTAATAAAAAGAATTTTAAGACACAACTTCTGTCTAGCAGGACCTTATCATATCAAGGAGAAGAATGTGTAAATTATAACAGACATATAATTTTTTTTTATTTAACAAATCTTTATTGTTTAGATTATTACAGTTGTTTCTCCTCTCCCCCCCCCCACATAGCTCCCCTCCACCCAGTTCCTAACCCACCCTCTGCCCTTACACTCCCCCCCCCCTGCATTGTCCTCATCCATAGGTGTATGATTTTTGTCCAGTCTCTTCCTGCACCCCCATACTCCTTTCCCCCTGAGAATTATCAGTCCATTCCCTTTCTATGCCCCTGATTCTATTATATTCACCAGTTTATTCTGTTCCTCAAATTTTTAATTCACTTAAGTTTTAGGTTCACTTGTTGATAGATATGTATTTGTTGTTCATAATTTTTATCTTTACTTTTTTCTTCTTAAAGAAAACCTTTCAGCATTTCATATAATACTGGTTTGGTAGTGATGAACTCCTTTAGCTTTTTCTTATCTGTGAATCTGACCTTCCATTCTGAATGATAGCTTTGCTGGGTAGAGTATTCTTGGTTGTAGTTGCTTGCTATTCATCACTGAATATTTCTTGCCACTCCCTTCTGGCCTGCATAGTTTCTGTTGAGAAATCAGCTGACAATCGTATGGATGCTCCCTTATAGGTAACTAACTATTTTTCTCTTGCTGCTTTTAATATTTTCTCTTTATCTTTTGCTCTTGGCATTTTAATTATGATGTGTGTTGGTGTGGTCCTCTTTGGATTTCTTTTGTTTGAGTTTCTGTGCCCTTCCTGGACTTGTAAGTCTGTATCTTTCACCAGATGGGTGAAGTTTTCAGTCATTATTTCTTCAAATAGGTTTTCATTATCTTGCTCTCTTTCTTCTTCTGGCACACTCATAATTCTGATCTTGGTACGATTGAGTTATCCCAGAGGCTTCTTACACTGTCTTCAACTTTTTGGATTCTTTTTGTTTGTCTGATTTTTTTTTCTTTTTTGTTTTTCAAATCTTTGACTTGATTCTTGCGTTTCTCTAGTCTGCTGTTAGGTCTCTGTATAATATTTTTTTTATTTCAGTCAGTGTATGTTTAATTTCTAGTTGGTTTTTTTTTCTTATCCTCAAGGGTCTCACTCAATTTATCATCCTTTTCTATGAAATTCTTGAAAAACCTTATAACCATGGTTTTGAATTCTGTATCCATTCGTTCCCCCCCCTCCCCATTTCTTTTGTTTGTGACCTGTTACTCCGTCTCCACATTTTCACTGCTTTCCTGTATTGGTAGGGTGGCTTTGTGTGGTAGGTGTCCTTTATGGCCCAGTGGGTCGGTCTCACCAGTTACCTGAGGTGGACACTCTTGGTGCACCCCTTTGTGGACTGTGTGTACAGCCTTGTTGTAGTTAAGTCTTAATTGTTGTTGGTATCACTGGGAGGAATTGATCTCCAGGCAAATTGGCTGTGAGAATCAGCTGTATCTACGCTGGGAGTCCTGTGCTGGAGACTGCCTTATAGGACCAGACTTGCAAAATCCAAAAGGCTCTGTGCTCAGCTTGGATGGAGCAGAGTATCAGGGCTGAGAAGACAGTCTTGGCTTCCTGTCAACCCTGCCCTTGTGTGCGCCTCCAGATTTCTGCCTTCTTCTGCACCCCTGAGTTTCCACCTGACAGTCCTGATCCCCCTGTAAGAGCGTGGATCCACGGGGTTTTGCCTGGAACTGGGATTCAGTGCAGTTGGAACTGGGGTTTAGTACAGTCAGGAGCTTCTGACTCCCTTCCGCTAAGGAAAGCTACCGTGTTTCCCGGAAAATAAAACATCCTCTGAAAATAAGACCTACTTACAGGTTTCCTTCTGAGTGAAATATAAGGCATCCCCCTTCTGAAAATAAGGCCCCCCTAGGCTCTGTCTCAGAATGAAAATTAGTTTACCGTAAACTGGTCGCTAGGGCCTCCCTGACTGGCATCTAGCAACCAGTGATGTTACGCAGAGTCCTGACATCACTGCTGTGTGGAGGCAGAGCAGAGGTCGGAGCTGTGAGCGCAGGGCGAGAGAGAGGAGGAGACTTTCGCAGATGTGTGTAGAAGAACAGGATTAGAGCGGATGGGACGTGGCGAAGGTGGTGAGTGCTGGTCTGTCTCTGGTGACACTACCTGATGCTCGTGGCCGCCCTCATGATGACTGAAGGTTCTCAGTCAGTGGCAGACCCTGCTCCAGCCAAGATCCAGGCCCCAGCAAGCCCAGTGAGAGTCCCCAGGCAGGCCCCAGGGGGTAAATGTCTGATAAAGGAGTAGGGGGGATGTCTGGTGATGGTGTTCAGTGGCACAGGGGTGAGGGGAGGGGTATCACTTAAAATGACACAGGAGGATCAGAGGGGGCAATCAAAATGACACAGGAGGATCAAAAGGGGTTACTAAAATGGTAATCCCCCCTCTGATTCTCCTGTGCCATTTTGATTCCCCCCTCTGATCCCCACAGTGTCATTTTAAGTGGTCCCCCTCCCCCCACCTTGATACCCCAATTCCTTTTTTTACCCCTAGAAATGAGCTCAAAAAGAAAAAGCTACTTCGTGGAGTACAAGAAAGGAATTGTGGAAGACTTTTGGGGCCAAAATCTTACTGCTTTCTGCAAAGAGATGTTGAATATTCGATTGGTCTGAAAATGGCGAGCAGAGTATGGTAATGTCATTGAACAAGTGGACAAGGGAAATGCTAAAAAGCGCAAGTGTGGATCAGGTCAGCAACCATTATTTTCTGAGCTGGAAGACCTGATTTGTGAATGGGTTGTTGACAGGAGAGCAAGGCTTTGGTTGTGAATAGGGCTCAGATTCAAGAATTTGCCCTTGCAATGGCACCACAGTTTGACGTAGCCCCCAAAGACTTGAAAGCATCACAACACTGGCTGGATAATTTCCTTCAGCGAAGTGAACTGTCTTTAAGAAGATCTACAATATTGTTTAGGTTGGAAGATACTCAAGTTATTAAGCGAGCACTTGTATTCAAGTCCTTTATTGATGATGCTGACTTCTCTAAATACAATCTTTCCAACATGATTGCTATGGATGAAACTGCAGTGTTTATGGGCCAATCATCTCAAACAACAATTGGACAGCGGGGTACATTCCCTCCACTGCTTACGAAAGTGCACGTTTCCTGTATTTTGGCAACTCGTCTGGATGGCATTAAAACCCCACCTTCTTTTTTTTTTTTATTATTAAATATATTTTATTGATATTTTTTTTACAGAGAGGAAGGGAGAGAGATAGAGAGCTAGAAATGTCGATGAGAGAGAAACATCGACCAGCTGCCTCTTGCACACCCCCTACTGGGGATGTGCCCACAACCATGGTACATGCCCTTGATCGGAATCGAACCTGGGACCTTTCAGTCCGCAGACTGATGCTCTACCACTGAACCAAACCGGCTTCGGCTAAAACCCCACCTTTAATCATTTCTAAGGGCAAGAAGGAAAAGATTG